AATCCCGTTGTACCACTGAGATCATATGATAAATGATCAACATACACTCTACCCTTAAACTGTTGAAGAAGCATATACTATAATTGAGACTTTTGCTTATTTATATAGATTTGAAATTCGAAAAGGATATGTCAAAAATGATAAAGATAGTCATGAGATCTCAAGAATATTTCTTTGTTATCATGCAAAAAGCCACAAACTAAAACAAATTATATATAATAAAGGCATCTGGATCATGTCAGGTTGAATGCAAAAAGAAAGTTAATATATACTAGAGTAAGTGTTTAAAAAGATACTTTATTTCTACCTTTACAAATACTTATACTGGTCATACACTCAATCCAACTACTATAAGATTTATTTTAAAAAACTGAAACTTACTGATAAAATATTAGAAGAAATCAAATATTATACCTTGGTCAGAAGCTCAATGCTAATTCTCAGTATCATCTCCTTTTTAGAAAACATAAAGTTAAAATTCATTGTTATAATCTTTATAATACAATTTCTAAGTTTAAGAAAATGGATTCTTCTTGTGAGAATGATGTATCCAAATTATTGTCTATATTATTTAAAAAAAAAGAAGAATGCTCAAGATGGGGCATAGAATAGCAGTTTGTATGAATATAAATGCATTAACACATCTTTTTTAGATATTTCTCCAATAACTCGACCTTCAGTTTTGGTACTATAACATTATTCTTTATGATAACACTTCCAAAATGAATATTTATAATATACTACTATCTCTGTTTATTGCTATTGATAACATCTATCGATCTCATCTTATTGTATAAGCAATATTAGATGATGAAACTGCCAGTTCATATTTCTGATTACTTGAGGTTTTAATTAGAGCTATAGATGAACTTTATTTATATATTATCTTAACAGATACTGATTCCGCCATGAGCCTTTCTATTTCAACTATTATGCTTTTAACTCAACACCTTCATTATATCTGGTACATTAGTCAAAATATCTAAAAAATCTTAAAAATAAGTTAGGAACTAGTTGAGTTGAATCAATTAACTCACACACAGTGTTTAAAATTGGCATGCACAAGATGCACATATACACAAATTTTTTTTTGATTTTTTAAATTTTTTAAAATCCATTAAGTGTGCATATAAATTTTTTTTGAATTTTAAATACTGCTCACATATTAAAACTACTATCTGTCATGATTATACAACTTTGTATGACTTGTTTAATTTGCTTAATTCTTTGATCACCAGTCAAGATTATTACTATGATTTTATTAGTTAGAAATCATCAAATCTCAATGTTAAACTACCAAATATTTGTGACACTATGTTTATGAATATAGACACTATTCTTAAACATCTGTCATGCCTAATATAATTGAAAAAATTTATTATAAAATAAATTATAGTTTTTCTACTATTCAACAAAAATCAGTCCTAAATCTTTATATTTATATCAAGTAAATAATTCATTACATGTTTTTAATTTGCTAATCCATCTATATAGCTTATTAACAATTACTTCACCAATATATATTTCTAAAGTTAAAGCTTAATAGATTATAACCACCATTAGTGAAGTAGTTGTTGATAAACTGATTTTAACAAAATGAGCATTTTTTTTAATATTATAGATGCAGGATGACAACACAATATTCATTGATAACATATTTGACTATCTATTAGCTCATTCTCTTATCCTTTTTGAACAAGCTAAAAACCAAATCATTGAAGTTTGGAAAGTTATTCATATAACCTAGAAACATTCCAAACTTCAAGTATTTTTACTTAAAGACAGTTTGTTTATATGTAGCTATATGATATTGGTTAATCATGGTTACCCTTGCAAACATTTTTTTCAAGTTATGACATATTCTTTGCAGCCAAATTTTCCAATAACTTTGTAGCAAATTGTTGGTTACAAGATAAATATCAAGATAAAAATCCTGACATACAACTACTTATTAATTTATTAATAGTCTTTTTATCAAAACTGATAGAGGAATTATCATTTCTAACTACAATATTATGAATAAATAACTCTGCAAATCTATTTTCAGCAACAGTACTGTACTTTTTATAGCACATCCATCATCAACTACTGCTAAAAAAGCAATACAAAAAAAAACCTATATTAAAACTATTAGAATCGTATATAAGGCAATTAATATTGCTATTGAAAAGGATAATTCATACATTCTTAATTTTTTAAAAGAATACATTGTATGAAATGAACATTAGCTTGTTGAAAATACTATTGGTGCATCTTTTCTTAGTCAAAATACTAATATATTGAAAGAATGTTCTGAATTAAATACAATTCAAAATGGACTATCTGTTAGGATTTCTAATCCAATAAAAAAAACTAAAAAAGGTTAGCCACTAAAAACAGTGCATTATAAATTATTATTAGAAATTCAACAATTAAGGGGTTGAAAAAATAAGTTAAAGCAGAACATGGCTCTGAAACTAATATAAGTGGTGAATGTGAAGATAAAGGTTAGTATCATCAGTAGCATATTAAACACAAAAGTAGAATCAGTAATTCATCAATTATTTGTAAATTGTGTGGTGGGTATTGACATAAAAAAGAATTGTATAATAATGATTCTGTAGAAGAAAATGAGGTTGTCAATAATGAAAATAAATAGTTAAGCTTAAGTGATTTAGAATTAGAGGTATAAATAATTAAATTATATTGCTTTTGAATATTGCTATTTAGGATGGATTTTAGTTCATTTCTTTTATATTTAAATTATGTTTTGAATATTGTTATTTAGAATAGATTTTAGTTTGTTTCTTTTATATAAGAATTATTAAATCTTGATTCCTTCAAGAATTACACAGTTGACTCTTGTTATTGTTATATGCCTTTTTTTTATTGAATACAAACTGTTTGATCTCTTCTTATCTTTATAGTAATTCAGGTTAATATGTTGGTTATATAGATGCAAACATATTGTCATATTAATACAACCTATTTTAAAACTGGGTTGATAACTTTTATATTAAAGTAATTAAGTTAGATCTTATTATGTCAATATATTTGTATTTTCAGTCAGTTAGCAAAAATTATGAATAGACTATAATTTTATTAGAGAAACTTTAATTAAGCATCTAAGGAATGTCTATAGTTACAATTGGTTTATTAGTTTAAACTTTTAACAATTTAGACATATAACAGAATTTAACTATGAGATACATCCATATTACTATATTTTGTTTGCCATAAGGCCCAGTATGATTTTTAAGTAGTAAATAAATTGAAATTATATGACTTATGCATTATATACAAATCAAGTATTTGTAACATTGAGTACTTTGATCTACTTACATATAAAGTTTGTGATTAAGCAAAATCAGTGCACAAAGAATACTGATTGGTTTATAATCTAAGCATTAGTCAATACTATACTAAGTATATATCAATATTTGTCGATTTGGAATAGACTTGTCATGATATATACAGTATATGGGTAATGATGAATAGGCTTATTGTTACGTAAATATGTAATATATATTTTGTGCATTATAATATACACTAATTGTTATACAACATATCGTATAATTATAAATATATTAGTTGTTATATGAACATGTATTATATAGCCATTTTTGATTAGACAATAAATCTTGCCTATAGTATGAGGTGCACCAAAAATAAATGCTCTTATCTATTAACATATTTTTAATTAATATTTAAATTTATTTAAAATTTATTGCAGTTTGCAAAATTTTATAATTTTACAGATCAAAAAAATAATTAATGATTAGTAATTTCTGATTTTTGATTTTTTTTTTTTTTTTTTTTTTTTTTTTTTTTTTTTTTTTTTTTTATATTTTTTTTTTTTATTATTATTTTTATTTT